AAAAAAAAAAAAAAATTAAAATTAAAAAATGAAAAATTTATAGAGTAGGGGGGTCACTCTGTTGCCCGGGTTGGTCTCAAACTCCTGGCCTCAAGTGATCCTTCCACCTCGGCCTCCCAAAGTATAGGGATTACAGGCATGAGCCACCGTGCACAGCCTCTCAGTGTTTTGTTTTGTTTTTGAGACAGCGTTTCGCTCTTTTTGCCCAGGTTGGAGTGCAATGGCATGATCTCCGCTCACTGCAACTTCCACCTCCCAGGTTCAGGAGATTCCCCTGCTTCAGCCTCCCAAGTAGCTGGGATTACAGGTGCCTGCCACCCCATGCCTGACTAATTTTTTTTTTTTTAGTAGAAATGGGGTTTCACCATGTTGGCCAGGCTGGTCTCGAACTCCTGACCTCAGGTGGTCTGCCAGCCTCAGCCTCCCAAAGTGCTAGGATTACAGGTATGAGCCACCATGACCGGCCCTCTCAGTGCATCTTTAACAGGCCAATAACATACACATTTGTTTGCAATCTATTTTATCCACACAACATTATATCATGAACATCCTTCCACATGGGCAAATACCTTTCTGCCCAATTGTCCTCAACCCACCAATGACAAAATATGTTTTTATTCCCCAACTCCGCTCCATCTTTGCTATCACTGCAGCTGTCATCCAAACAGCCACCTGGTCCTCATTTCCATTCTCACTCTGGCCCCAACCTCTCCCCAACACAGCCATGGTGCCCATCCCCTGATTAGGATTTGACAATGGTGTCCCATGTTCATGGATGAAATCTAAGCTCCTCAACTTGACCTGAGTCCCAAGTGATCTGGCCCTGCCTACCCCCTGACTGCCATGATGCACATTTGGGGCCTCCTAGCCACACCCACGTCCTCCCTGCCCCAAGGCCTTTGCCCTGCTCCCTGGCAAGCACCTTCCCAGCTTAGTGACCCCCCTCAGAGAGCCCTCCCCTGACCACTCTCAGAAGCCCCCTGCACTGCTCTCTGTTCCTTCCTCTATTGCTTTTTTTTCCTTTCTGAGACGGAGTCTCACTCTATCTCCTGGGCTAGAGTGCAGTGCTGCAACTTTGGCTCACTGCAATCTCTGCCTCCCAGGTTCAAATGATTCTCCTGATTCTCCAGCCTCTGCCTCCCAAGCAGCCTAGTACACACACACACCACCACGCCTGGCTGATTTTCGTATTTTTGGTAGAGACAGGGTTTTGCCATGTTGGCCTTGAAAAGTGATGGGATTACAGGCATAAGCCACCTCGCCTGGCCTCTATTTCTTCTTAACACACTTCCTGAGCTTCTATTATGCTATTTGGTGGGGTGTGTGTGTGTGTGTGTGTGTGTGTATGAGAGAGTGAGAGAGAGAGAGAGAGAGAGAGAGAAATTGTTTTTGTTGGGGTGTAGGGTTGGAAAATGCCACCTTGGGGCATGCTCCTCTCCAGGAAATCTTCATTCTGATCTTCCTGGGATGGTTTGGGAAACTTTTTCTTCTTGGGGTTGATCTTGCTGCCAGAGGCCTCTCCAGACCCATTGCTGATGGTTTCTCCTTGCAAGACAATCTCCTCTTTTCCTTGGCGATACTCCTGTTGCCTGCCCCTTGGGGTTACTAACTGTTTCCTCCTTGAATGAAGATGTCTCCATCTGTTACTTTTTTATTGAGACAGAGTTTCACTCTTGTTGCCCAGGCTGGAGTGCAGTGGTGCGATCTCAGCTCACTGCAACCTCTGCTTCCTGGCTTCAGGTGATTCTCCTGCCTCAGCCTCCCAAGTAGCTGGAATTACAGGCATGTGTCACCACACCTGGTTAATTTTTATATTTTTAGTAGAGATGGGGTTCACCATGTTGGCCAGGCTGGTCTTGAACTCCTAACCTCAGGTGATTCACCCACCTTGGCCTCCCAAAGTGCTGGGATTATAGGCATGAGCCACTGCATCCA